TCTACCCTAAAGCTCTCAGTTTATTGTCATCCTCGCTGCCATATACAGGGAGACTGGGTGATCCTCTGGACAGGCACCATGCTACTGTGGTATTGGTGGGGACCTTTGCAGCTCTTGCCAATTCGGCAGTTGGTGAAAGCAAAGAAAATGAATTACTCTCACCCGGCGTGTGGGAGTCTGCGTTGCGTATGTGCTGAGTTATTGGGGGTAGGTTAGATGACATCTTGAAGTTTCCCTAATGGATTCTTAGGTTGGCTAGGATTTGGGAAAGTAGAAAAGTGAAAATACCTGGGCATTAAATTGTCATTGAGTTCTTCTGCATCTCATCCCCAGAGCTTCTGTTGAGTGCCACAACGACAGTAGCTGTGAATTGAAAGACAAAAATAATAAATCTCCTTATTATGCAATCTAGAGTGTTGGAAAGCACAGGATAGTGTTACATAAATAAATATTTTAAAAGAACACAGTTATAGATCAGGATAAATTGTTGGGAAGGAAATCTCCATAAGAAAATATGGAGAGAGAATGCCTCGGATTGGAGAATCAGGGAGAACACTCTCCAAGGTGAAACAGGAAGGGCGTCAAGGGCATGAGGAAGTCAGGGGAAGGAGTTGGCAATTAAAATTGCCTGTTTTAAAACGGAGTGTGTGTGTGTGTGTGTGTGTGTGTGTGTGTGTGAGTGTGTGTGTGAGAGACAGACAGACAGACAGACAGACAGAGACCGAGAGAGAAACAGAAAGAGAGGGAGACAGACAGAAAGAGAGCAGCGAGCGAGCTCGGGAGAGAGGCAGGGAGGCACAAAGGCAGAGAGATACAGAGCAATGAACAGGGCCCTCACCCTCAATGAGCTACATCTTCAGCCTTTATTTTATTTTTTGAGACAAATTCTTGCTGAGTCACTAAGCCACCAAGTCTAGGTTAATACTTGGGATCTTCCTGCCTCAAAGTCTCCCAGAGTGCTGGAATTACAGGCATACTCACTATACTTGTCTTGTTTTAGAGCCTTGTGGTAAGAAAAGGGAGTATTGGGCTGTAGGCTAGATACAGTAGGAGAAACAGACAGCCACCATACAAATACAGACCGTGGGAAGGAGTTTGGATTTCATGCTAAGAACATCAGAATCTTTAATTAAAGTATCTTGAAAAATCTTCAGTGGCTGTTCTGCAGATAGGTGATTAAAGAGACATGAAATGAATTGGAGGAAAAGATAAACTGATCTTCTAGAAGATAAACTAGAAGTGCTGTAGAGGACACAGAGGAGTTGAGTGTGGGCTTGCTCGGAAAACCTTATGGGCTGAGCATGAAGTCATTGGCAAGGTCCCGTAGAGGTTTCGTGTGCTGCAGACTCTGAAGAAGAAGGCTGTGCTGGAAAGGATTTCACGCTGCTACTTGGAGCATCTGCTGGGTGTTATTACCACTGCGTAGTGTATTTCTAATAGGTGGTCAACTTACTATACCCAGCTGAATTAAACTAGCATGGTGCTGAGTATAGAAGGCCCACATGAGGGCTGTTGCCAACAGCGTAAAGGCAGAACAGAAGAAGCTGCCGAAACAGTTAGGGATGCTGTTTGGAGAAGCTGTTGGAAGCTGCTAGTTCTCTTGGGCTGTTCTGCTGGAGGACTTGTCATGCTGGCTTTCCTGATGACCTTTGGAGGAGGTCTGGTCCTCATCTTGAGCATCGCTCCCTGGCTTCACAGGGGAAGGTGGTGCATTGCTCAGCTTCATGAAGCTTGTTGCATTGGCTTTTCTGATGGGATCTTGGCTTTCCTCATCACTGGAGGAGCTTAGGACCCCAGTGTTTCTGAGGATGGCTGTGGTACCTTTGGGGGAGCTCTGGTGCTTACCTTGAGCATTGCCTCCCTGCTCCAGTTCAGATCCCTCAGCTTGCTAGCACAGATCTGTCATCCCACTGGCATAGACTTCCTAGCTTCCACCACTGACCTTTGGGCCTTTCCAGCACATATCCATGAAGCGCACCTGCATGAGACCTTGTTGTGGGCTTCAGGCCTCCAGTTGGAATAGTAGGAGGCATTGTTATGAGCTCTAGGCTTTAGCGTGTAGTTAGGTTTCCTGCACTTGTAGTATGTGATTCTTGGGTGATTCATTATAAAATACTATTATAAAACGTGTCCGGTACTATATTGTTCACCTTGCAAAAACCTCAAACCATGACAAAATGTAACTTCCTGAGGATGCCTTGAAATAGGGGTAGGGATGGAGGAAATTTTCATGTTAGCCACCTTATCTTGGTGATGACCTCTGCCAGTCAAGAGTAGCAACTACCATGAAGTTGAGTGGGTGTTTAAAGGCCATTGACGCCTTGGTATAGATACATGATTCAGTTCCTGAAACGACTGAAGTAATACACAAGTGGTTCACTTGTTAACTGGGGAAAGTAGGTTCTAGTTTTCTTTAATAAAGCTACCTCTTTGGAGTAGCCAAGTCGTTGTTATGTCAAGAATATGCTTTGGGGAGGAAACTCTTGAACTCTGGCTGACACCACTGGTGGAGGGTCACACACCTGTAGCCCCCACCAGGTGCCACAGGAGCTTGAAGTGGATGCACACCTGTCAACACTCTGGCATTTGCTCCTGCGTCCTTGTCCTGCCCCTGAACACCTGCAGGGAGGACAGAAGAGCTGACTTGGCTTGTGACAGTAGTGATGGCATCCCAGCTGCTGCTGCTGCTGCTGTTCTTTTTTCCCCCCAAGATTGTCCCAGCTGTACATTTCCTTCCAGACTATACTGTATTTAAGATCTGTGTCTGAATTCCATACTCAAAAGCCATGTAAATTCATTTTAGGGGATAATTTCCAAGTATTATCTTGATTCCTGGAAGGAATCGGGGAAACGTGCTAAATGTCTTTTTCATAGTTTCAAGGCTGTACAGTGTCTTCATATTTGAAAACTACATTTTCTACAATGCCAGAAGGATATTTGACAGTAATAGAGATGTTTCTTTAGGGCTGGTATGGTGTAAAATGAAGACTGCTCTCCACATAGTAGTTATCCAGTAGCACTAGTCAGGGTTAAACATTTTCTGAGGAAAAGGACTAGAAGACAGTTCACAAAAATAACCATATGCAACTTCAAAGATTAAAAGCGCAGACTCTTCACCAATTAATGGGACTGAGGGGGGGAGTTCCTTAATGTCTCTGTTGCATACTTCCACCTTTGTAAAATGGGAAAAGAATACCCATGATCATAGCCATCATAAGGATAATTCCAGAACTTACAAAATATGTAGCATGCAATGTTTATTACCATCATTATTTTGCCTCTAAGCAT